GAACTTTCTGCCGTTTTTATAGAATAATCCTAATAAAAAAACATGAAACCTTTATTTGAATATAAAATACGTACATTTTGAATCGAGTTAAATACGCTCGACAATTTTTTTACAACTCCAATAATCCTCGAAACATTGAAATTATTTAACTAATAATAAACAATAAACAAGACAAAATATTCAATTTAATATTTCAAATTAACTTACTCCGATAGTTGTCTCTTAGCACTTTTTAAAGTTTCACTCCCTATTAAGAATTATGGAAAATGAGGTCAATTTTTTGAAAATTTATCCTCCAGAATTTCTCAATATCCATAGTACATTTATGAGTACATTTTAAATATATAAATTACATCAAATACAACGCACAAACACGGTAATTGTAAGAAAAAAAATTGTTCTCGTGCCACTTCGCGTTTTGAACGAATAACATCAAAATTTTAGTTTCAATCCTATTCGGCAACAGAGAATGATAGATGCGTAGATGGCTCTAGATCCTTATCATTCAATATTATGAGTTGCAACGTCGATTAATCCTCAATCCATAACTTTCAAGAATAGCCGCTGAATGATAAGCTCAATATTTATGTACATCTGTAGTTGATCTACTTGACAATTAAACCTGAATTTTTGTTTTTAAAGTGACGACAAAAATAAATTACCGATGGTTTTTATTCCGAAAAATTCGCATAAATTCGTATTCCGAAATCTAACTTTTCCAAATTTTTACATTTCCGAATTTTTACGTTTCCAAATTTTTACGTTTCCGAATTTTTACGTTTCCGAATTTTTAAATTTCCGGATTTTTACGTTTCCGAATTTTAACTTTTCCGAATTTTATCTATTTTAATAGATTATTTTCCGAAAAACTGTCTTTCCGGATATTAATCGTTCCGAATTTTGAACAAGACCCAGAAGACATGGTATGAGTGACCCTCGCTAAGCCGAGTCTGATAAGATTCGGGGACTGACTTTTTCGCGGCTTGAGCCCGGATACTATCTTTTATACACAATGACCCGAACATCATTTTTTCCGCTTTGCGCAGCGGCAGAAAAGTTGTCATTTTCGGGCGCTTGTATAATCAATTTTTTTTCACGGAACAACAAAAGTCCCTCTTAATTTATAATACGTATAATTTTTCAAATCTTAATATTACGTGTCTATTTTTCATCGATGTGTAGTCTTTATGAGACCAAAAAGCCCCTCCTACTGAACAGAAAATCATACTAGGAAAACTGTGGAACACTTTCGACCATTTTTCTACAAACTTCTCTAATGATTGTAGTAATGATGAAGAAGGGAGATATTAATTTAATAGTAAATGGCTGCTGTAGTCCGCGAAAAAGAGAAAAGTCCCCAAAGACATGTTATAAGTGTCCAACGCTGAACCCAGTTTGAAAAGCATCTGGGACTGACTTTTTCGCGGCTAGAACCCGGATACTATCTTTCATACACAATGACCCGAACATCATTTTTTCCGCTTTGCGCAGCGGCAGAAAAGTTGTCATTTTCGGGCGCTTGTATAATCAATTTTTTTTCACGGAACAACAAAAGTCCCTCTTAATTTATAATACGTATAATTTTTCAAATCTTAATGTTACGTGTCTATTTTTCATCGATGTGTAGTCTTTATGAGACCAAAAAGCCCCTCCTACTGAACAGAAAATCATACTAGGAAAACTGTGGAACACTTTCGACCATTTTTCTACAAACTTCTCTAATGATTGTAGTAATGATGAAGAAGGGAGATATTAATTTAATAGTAAATGGCTGCTGTAGTCCGCGAAAAAGAGAAAAGTCCCCAAAGACATGTTATAAGTGTCCAACGCTGAACCCAGTTTGAAAAGCATCTGAGACTGACTTTTTCGCGGCTAGAACCCGGATACTATCTTTCATACACAATGACCCGAACATCATTTTTTCCGCTTCGCGCAGCGGCAGGAAAGTTGTCGTTTCGGGCGTTTGTATAAAATTCAATTTTTCATCACGGAACCACAAAAGTTGCTTTCAGTTTATAATACGTATCATTTGTTAAATCTTAACATATCGTGCCTAATTTTATCGATGTGTTGTCTTTATGAGACCAAAAAGCCCCTCCTACTAAACAGAAAATCATACTAGGAAAACTGCGGAACACTTTCGACCATTTTTCTACAAACTTATCTAATGATTGTAGTAATAATGAAGAAGGGAGATATTAATATAATAGTAAATTGCTGCTCTTGTCCGCGAAAAAGAGAAAAGTCCAAGAAGACATGGTATGAGTGACCCTCGCTAAGCCGAGTCTGATAAGATTCGGGGACTGACTTTTTCGCGGCTTGAGCCCGGATACTATCTTTCATACACAATGACCCGAACATCATTTTTTCCCCTTTGCGCTGCGGCAGGAAAGTTTTCATTTTCGGGCACTTGTATAATCAATTTTTTTTCACGGAACAACAAAAGTCTCTTTTAATTTATAATACGTATCATTTTTTAAATCCTTATGTTTCGTGTCTAATTTTCGGCTCGGGACTGAGCATGAATTGTGCTCGACTCAGAGCGTGAATGTATATCTTTGTATTCGAGCCTGAAACATGGTCAAAAGTTTTTCCGTGTACAGTACGATTAAGGTGGTCTGTACGCCACGGAGTCGAAAAATATGTTTTATTTATATATTTTTATAAACCGAATATCGAAAAACGGTTTTATGGAAACCTTTTTTTTGTTGTTCAAAATAGCTGGTCAAAATTTTAGCTTTTTCCACTGACCACATTTCTTGGAAAACGTGTTTGAAAATTTCAAGCTTGGGTAACGTGTGAAAATTTCAAACACGTTTACTGGGAAATGTGGTCGGTGGTATGAGCTAAAATTTTTTCCCGTTGTTGCAAGCAAACAAATGAAGGTTCTCATAGAGCTGTTATTTTTTGATATTCGATTTAGAAAAATGTTTATAAATTAAACAAATTTTTTTACTTTGCAGGTTAAATGTGTAGGGTACAGACGTCCACTTAATTTCACTTATAGTCGCACTTAATTTATGATACATACCATCTTATGATAAATTTGAAGATGCGATTATTGAATCATGGAGCTTATCGAATATCGAATATCGAATGTCGAATGATGAGTCACGCGAAGCGTGCTGAATGTCTCTATGAATTGAAGTTACAGTCGATATTGAATCAAAATCAAAATGTATAATTGGAACAGAGCAGATTAAATAAATTGTTAATAAATAATTCGTTATTTCGATCAGTCCGAGTGAAAAATTAAACAGTACATAACCCAGGCCGAGGAGAAGCCGAGGCCGCAAAAGGGGTGTCTTTTTTGGCGGCTCAGACTGCATACGAATTATATATATTTCATATTCAATGGTCCTATAATAGCATTTCGCTCTGTGCACAGGCGAAGGAAAATAGTCTTTACGGGTCGTTTGTAAAATCATTCATATAAATATAATATATTTATGTCTCCTAGCAAAATGATGCTACTTTGGATTAAAGATACTTCGACCATGCGTATAATGAAAATAAAAAAAAAATTGCATTCAACGAAAACAATTTAAAACTGAACACGCTTTTAACTCCAAAGAGTTATCATGGGTACTTTCAAAAAGTTATTCCCGAGAAACGTTCGCCAGAAATTCTTGTCGAGGCCGTATTTAATAGGATTCAAAAGAGTTATTCGTAAACACTACACTTGAAAGTGTTGCGAACGCAGATTATTTTTTATCTAAATTGACAAGGGAAAGTAATTTATAATTTGGATTGTTCTTTTCAAAAACGAGCAATCTGCGTTCTCATGAGCGTTGATCAACGTGAATCCTAGCGTTTTATCACAAAGAGTTTTATGTGAACATGTTATTTATTTTAATGATTTTAATGATGAACGAACTTCATTTTAATGATTTTAAGGTAGATGCTGTAGAGCATTTTAGATAAATATTCAGTGAAGATTCAGAAAACTGGATTGAAATTTTGATTTTTACGCTAACTTCGATATCAGCAAGTACAGTTTTAAATTGTTTTCGCAAAGTGCCATCTTTGGCCGAACTTGATTTTTATTATTTTTACGTAACGGGATGCGAATGTAGCGTCATGCAGAATTGAGCTCGGAAGAGGCATCTTGCTGCTTAATAAACTGGAAATAGGACTTCATTGTACTGCTTTGTGGTGCAGCATCGTGTTGCTAAGAAGTTTCGATATGGGATCATAAAACCATATCCAGCAATAGCTCGCATTTCTGCTCGAAAATATCTACTGGGTCAGTAATGTCGATTTTTGAAAATCATTTGATACGTATTTTATTGTTTTTCAATTAATCTCCTATTTAAGAAGATCATTTATAACGATAGTATGTCATCATGTTCACTTAAAAAATGTTGTACCTCCATTATTGATTGACTCATGAAAAAGAACAATAAAATAGTTGGTTTATAATTTTAATAAATTTGCTTAAAAATGCGCGCGAAGCGCGCTCAGCGATCACTAGTTTTCCAAAATAGTAATATTTCGTGATCACAATCAATAATGAACTGATCATCGGTCTCGACGATTTTTGGTCAAACTGCTGTGATGAATATTACTTATGATCATATTAGTTGAGATTGTCGAATGGATCGTATTTTTTCTATACTGTGGAAATTGCCATGGGCTTATAATAATGCAAAATTTTTTTCTCGTCAGACTTGTCATAACTTTTTGTATTCGTTATTTCGGGTGACATATGTTTACGAAGTTTTGTGGAATTCTGTTCTTTAACTGGATTGAGTTACAAATTAGTAGAAGAAAATAGAAAAATTATTTTCAGAGTTTTTTAAGGTAATGTTCTAGTTCTGAATGTGACGTTCATGGCTGGCGCACTGTCAACAGGACTTTCAAAATGGTCGCAGCTGCGGGGGTTTTCATTTTTTGGTTTTAGGAAATCCTATGGTTAAACCGTTATTTTCATAACTTACTACTGCACTATAAATCCAATGGTTTTATAGGAGCTCTAAGTAGGTAATGAAGCAAACAAATTTTTTTTTTTTCATGATTCAAAAAGGTATTATTAGTAATAGTACTTTTTTATGTAACATACATTGATGTAAATTATTTCATGAATATTTTTACAAAATCACTTGCTTATTCGATTATAACAGTAACGAGAATGATGATGATATATTAATGAGGACTGGTTCGAAACAATATTTCCATTATTTTGTATTGTAATTGAAAGTGACAAAAAAATTTTTGATTATCTTCCAAATACACTTATTATTTTCATTACTATGAATCCAGTTATTATTATTACTGTGATACCAATTCCAGCTTTTGACCAAACAACGGAGTCTCCTTGAATAAGTCCAAAACGCTTCAAATGTCTGAAAAAGATTATTTCAGATTAGCTCATATTATAAATTGTTTCAAGTATTATAAAAATATTCGTTTACAATTGTTTCATCATTAAGAATGTATAAATCACTACTATGCTACTTTTTGTGTTGTTAAACTATTTTCCAGTTTTAGAAATATTATGAATTCAACATTTTTAAGTTGGAATGAATTTATTTTTTAAGTATGATTCATTTTGTCCTCAAACAAAAATATCTTTTGAGGGTTCTCATCAGAACCAATTTCGGAATTAGTGCCAAAATCTCGTCTATGGAAGATCTTTCATTAAAAATTGAAATTTGTACTTACGAAAAAACTCTTTATCATTAGTTTGTGTTTGCAATTAAATTATGAGTAATATTTTAATTAGTTTGAAAAGTAGCATTCGTATTAGCATGCAACGAAGTACACCACGTTAGTAAAAAAGTGCTTATCGGCTGATGGGGGGGGGGTGAGAATAGAACTAATCTGGTAAAGACAAAGATTCATAAAAAAATGCACAAAAAATTAACTTTTAGAAAAATTCAATTAACATGTTCTAAGCCATAGCAAAAAATTCCTGCATTCCTGCAGAAACTCCTGCAGAAATTCCTGCAGGAATTTCGCTACTTTTTCCTACGGGAATGAATTTAGAATTTCAAAGTTCACACCACCGATTTTCTATTAATTCTACACACATGGTTGACTTCGATTTTGTCCGGTGCAACGTTGGAACTTCCTGTGTACATTTATACACATTCCACCAATCTGTCCGCAGGACAGAATACAAGTCAATCTAGTGTACCATCTCTTCTCAGAGGTTTTTCTAAATTAAAAAATACGTAAAATTTAAGCTTTTGAAAATAATAGATCAAGTCAAAGTTTCTGACGTATTTTCGACTTATTTGATCGAAAGTCCGCTTCGCACAAAGCAAGGAGAAACAAACCCGATTAGTTGAGAAAGGAGAGATTTGTCGTAGGTACGGGGAAACCCATCGCCACAAGGGCTTAATAATAATGAAGGATTGCCTATTCAATATTTGCTAAGAAAACACAGTACTTTAAAATCCGAAGTAATTTACCTTTAAACATTGTTCAACATTTATATAACATACCATGCAAAGAGATAAAACATACCTGTGATTGTAAAATAATATCCAAGCTGCTTGGAAACGGCTGCACAAAAAATTTAACAATTAATTATGCACCAGAATTATCATGTACAAAAAAGAATTTTGGCTTTGATTGTACAGCTGATTTTGCGAAAAATATTGAGAAAAAATATCAACTTATAAGCTATTTTGAACTGAACTGATAGGTAATCGTTTAATTTTTTTTTAATTTAACAGAGGATAATCAATTAATAATTGATACATTTAATAAAACGGTAATTTCGATGAATTGTTTGTGAGAGCTGAAGAGACACCATGTTAGTTTTAGTTGAACATTAAGCAATTGAGTATTTCTTAAATATGGAATTAAACATAGAATGGAGAAAATGCAAGAATGAAACAAACGTAGAATGATTGTAATTTTTTTTAACTATTAAGAATCTATTTTCGATGTCTTTTGATCTCATTGTTCATTTAAGGACTTTTTTATACACTATTAAGAAGCAGTGATTGCATAATTTATGCAACAAGTGTCAAAAAGGCGTTTCTGCGCTCAGTATGAGCAATAAAACACAAGTATCGGCTAAGCTGACAAGATTATGCAAATGATAATTATTTTTTCCAGTTTCGAATGATTAAATTCGATTTTGAATTTATCTAATTGACTAATGAAAAATGGACAATTTTTATTGGGTAAGCTACTATAAGCAGGAAAAATTAATCAAAATAATTAAATAAATATCTGGAAATACTTACGGAAATGCTGCCATCGTAGCTAATTTGATAAATATTTCTCTTCGCACTACATGTGAAATACCATGAGGCTGTGGTGGCATAAGTTTGTACTTTGTGCAAAAAGTTGCTGGTTGTAATAAATACTCTTGCTTAGCTTCTGTTAAATCGCTTTTATTAGCTACGATTAATACCGGAATTTTGCTGTCAGCAAAATATTTCTGCAAATACATAGAGAAATGTTAAATCATGGAAAAAATAACAATATCAAACTGGTAAACTAGAACTCTAAACTAATAGAAGATAAATATTATATATTTTTAAATAGTAAAAGAGCATTTCCACTAAGATTTTGACACTTTTTGACAAAATTTTCTTGATTTTTGCTTTTCATAATAATCATTTGGTAATACTCACTATGTATATGCGGGCAATAAATTCAAATGATTTAGGATTATTTGTGTCATAAACAAGAGCTGCGGCGTCGCATTGAATTTGAGCAGGCAATAAAGCATCTTGAATGTTTAATATATTGATATCTTTCAAAATTAATATTTTTTCTTGCCCATAGATGTGCACAGTATTTACATACATATTGGATGAATCTGTAGAATGATTGGATTTCTGCAAAAAATGAAAATAAAAACATTAATAAAAAAGGTATTAATGATAATTATTTATATGTAATTTAAGTGTGAAACGGAAGATGAATAAAATTACCTCCAATTTTGGGTCTATAAATGATTGACACAGTGTGGTTTTACCACAACTTTTCGGTCCAAGAACATGACAACAATAAACATTACGAAAAGATTGTTTCTTAGCAAGATCCACCTTCTTTTCTCTGGTTATTAAAATTGATGATGTAGTACTTTCATTATAATACAGGTAATATCCTAAATAAGCCATGAACTCCAATGTTTTTTTAGGATCTGTGTAAGTTATTAAACTCCATTGGCACATAAATCCTTGATAAGTTAACCAACCCTGTAACAATTGTTTTTCCTGTTAACTTGAGCAATGAATGGTCAATTAAATATTGTTTGTAATCGTTAACTGATTAAGTTACCTTATCGTTGGTTGGTACATTATTCTTATATTTGTCTCCCCATGGCAAATTAGGACACGTGACAAACATTGACTTCAGTTCTTGGGGAGATAAAGCACCATCTTTATCAATATCATGAAGCATGAAGATTTGTGTCAAAAATTCTTGACCTTTATGAGATAATTCAGTTGTACACCCATGAGGGACTTTAAGTCTAAAGAATATTTAAACAAATTAATTCATGAGAAAAAAAATTGCATTAATAATTAAGTATGTTATTACATACTCAGGATTTATGTAGTCTTTTGACATTTGAAGATTATTATCGTAGCCAAATTTTCTTAGTACAGCCCAAGTTGTTTCATTTCTTCCTCTTTGAATAAATAAACATTGTAAATACATGAAGCCTCTTATAGTAATACATCCATTTTCTATTCCATCTTCAATATTTTTCAAAAGTACAGCTTTGACATCTTCTAGTACTTGTGGTTGCAAAGGAGAGTTAAAACACCACTGTTGAAACGTGTTAAGTTCAACATCATTTAATAATCCGTCATTATCTGCATCACATATCTATAAATCATCAAAAATATGTATCAATATGAATTATTTGTAACAATAAAAAAGAATTTTGTATCAATTTTTTACCTTGAATATCCTATGCAATGCTGATTTACATTCTGAAGTTAACTAAAAATGTGATTTCAGTAATATTTATTAAAATGAATAAATCAATCTACTAAAATTTATTGATTAATTTTATTTTGAAATGAATCATACTTCCTGAGTTTCATAGTTATATAATGGAGTTGTCGGATGTAAAACGGCTTTTTGTGCATAATAAAACATTTCTGAGATATTTTGCAATGTTTTTGCTGAACACTATTAACATTGAATAATTTATTATTAACTCATACATTTGATTAACTGGTATAATATGATCTAGATATAAGATTTAACAAAAAATTGAATGGTCTGTTATGGTAACTTGATAATAATTTTACATTAAGTAATTTACTTTAAGTATTTTTTCAAAACTTTAAGTGTTTTAAATTAGTATTATAATTATTAGTTATTAATTTTTGAAAAGTTTAAATTAATTTTTAGTTATAAATACTGTGTAAAAAAAAAAGTAAGATGCTTGATGAATTTATACAATAAAAATGTTTAAAATCTCAACCTTGCTGTTATAAAAAAATATAATTAAACTATTTACAATGTTACTGACCTCAATGCAACTTTCAATTTCATAAAATTCTTTCATGATGGGATAAACATCTTCAATTGTTGAATAATCTATCAAATCAATTTTATTGCCAACAAGTACGATTGGACAACGATTGTTATAAGAATTTTTCCGGATCAATGGTAGCCAATAAGACTTAGCATTATCGAGAGTTTGTATATTTTGAACAGAGTAGACCACACATATTACATTAGCTTTGGATATTTCACTGCATAACTGATCTTCAGTTTGTTCAGAGGCTAAAACATTTGAAACTTAAAAATAAAATGTTGCTTTAGATTTCACAAGGATAAATCAAAAAATATTTATATTATACCAGAGTAATCAACAATTCTTGTTGGCACTTGCTCCGGTGTGACATCAGCAGGGATTGTAATCTCCTCAGCTTTGCTTGGAACATCCTCTGTATACTCATCACTCACAAGTGATAATATTAGAGAAGTTTTTCCAACTCCTCTATCTCCAAGCAATAAAATCCTTACATTCTTAGGAGCATTTGTTTCAAATTGATTATTTACATACGATATATTATTAGACATAACCATGATGATAAATTCTTTTCACTGACTCTTATCACATCATAATGAATTTACAAATTTACAATATTTCCTCCAAATGCTCTTGACGTAAGCACGAGAAAAGAAAAATTTAAATAATCATTTTTTACAATAAAAATAAAATGTTAAAATGCTTCTTGATATTAGCCATATCCACTATCACTGACCAAAGAAAATTTTCCAAATTGCAGTACTATGGCTAAACAATAGTACCCATGTGCCGTTAACAATGTTTTTCAGTAAATTTAACAAACCCTTAATTCAACTTATTCACTTGATAACAATAAAATAAAGCATGCTTTAGGGTTACGTCAAATTTTTTATTTTTATGTGTATAAACGACTACTGGTCTTGCATTTCGATATAATTGGTGGTGCGAACAGTGCAGCCGCTATTCGTCACTGTCAGTCAGATCAGACAGTGAACAGACAATGTTGTGAAAAAATATAACAATTGCCATTGAACTGTTAAGAAATTGAGATTAGTAGATGGTATAGAAGATACATTGTGGTAGATCATAGGACAGCGGACAGATGGCACTTGCTATTTATAAATATTCGCGTATCGACTCATGACGTGTGGTCGTGTGCGGGGGCGGATCATCACCAATCATCAACATGTTAAAAAATCAATTTTTATAAACTAATTTGAAAGGTTTTTGAAGAGCTCTACTCGAATATGTAATTAATTTTTTCAGCTCTTTTATTTATAAATAAATCTAAATTAAAGTTATGCCAATTTCACAGTTAATATGTGGATATTTAACGCAATACTGCTGGTAATATATAAAAATTTCAAAATTTACTCCCTCTTTCGGTAATAGTATATTACTGCCCTAGGCCGGGAAAAATAGAAAAGTCCCAGGGCACGTGAAATAAGCGACCGAGGCGAAGCCGAGGTCAATTAGCACGTGCACTGAGGCTTTCTTTTTTCCCGGTATAGGCCAGTATACGATTTTACATACCCCAGGCCCGAAAATAGCAATATCCTGTTTAGCGCAGCGGCCGGGAAATGCTACTTTCGGGCCACTGGTATGTAAAATATTTAAAAATGTTTAAGTATTGATTTCCACTTTTTCGTGACAACTTATATTCATTGGAGTATTTTGCGTCATATCTTCGTATGCTTGGTATTGTTAATCTGCATAAACCTACCTAGGGCCTGCCAAAATCGATGCCAGCGCCGCCATACCCTCCACCTACATGCAGATTGCGAATGTAGCGAAAAAGTTAAAAATTTAGGTTAGGACGAAGTGGACGTTAGCGCTGTGCCCTTATATAAGGGTGCGGTCACATAACGGAAGATACCACTTTAATTATCAAAATGAACAGTCAAATTGAACATTCTTAAAACGAATAGAAAATTTTATTTCAATGGAGCAGCTCGTTATTTAGCCAGTATCATCTACCTATTAAAAGTTGCACAACTTCAAATATTATTTTCATACTTGTATATATTTTATAAATTGTGTCTCAAAATTCATTACCAAAATCGTTTTAAACAAGCTGGTCGATTCGAAAGTGGAAGATGCGTGTAGTGCCCCGACATGTGGGTATCATATGCACGTTAGTGCCTCCCGCGCTCCCCCCCCCCCCCCCCCC